TACACAAAGAAACCTTGTATCAAAAAAAAAAGAAAGAAAGAAAAGAAAAAAAGAAAGAAAGGGAAAGGAAAAAGAAGAAAAGAAAAGGAAGAAAGGAAGAAAGGAAGGAAGAAGAAATACTGCTAAAGCTCCATATATTCATTTTTAGTTTGGTCTTTAGCAAAAAAAGAAAAAAAAAAAAAAAAAGCCCTGATTGTGAGCTGTTTCCAGGGTTACAGACCATACTTCACAGCCTCCCTTGCAGCTAGGTGACTCCAAGTGATGCAGTTACAACAATGTCAGTGAAAGTGGTAAAATTTTCAGGAAGTCTCTTATAAAGAAAATAGCATCATTCTTCTCCCACCCTCCTTCCAACTGCTAAGAAAGTATAATTTCTGAACTCCAGATTTTTTGTATATGAAGCAATACACAAAGGTGGAAGAGCAGCAAATGAGAAGACGCTTAGGGTCCTGATACTATATTATCTATGTCAAAGATAGCTTTCTTTTTCTTTCCTTTTTTTTTGGTTTTTTGAGACAGGGTTTCTCTGTAGTTTTGTAGCCTGTCCTGGAACTAGCTCTTGTAGACCAGACTAGCCTCTAGGCCTCAAACTCACAGAGATCCACCTGCCTCTGCCTCCTGAGTGCTGGGATTAAAGGCGTGCGCCACCACCGCCCAGCTAAAGATAGCTTTCTTTAAGTGATTAAATATACTTGGTAATGACACTATTGAAGCCCCGTTAAAACCAAATTTAACCTAAGCACACAATAAAATCAAGCAGAGGTTATCCTAAGTCTGAAAGACTAGACCAACATGGAAAATTTATTCATTATATCACATTCCACGTGGAGAAGGAAAGTGTAAGATCATTTTAGCAGACTCCCAGCATTCAATCAAGTTCAACTCAGATATTATATTTTAAAAAATATAGATAAGGACGTAGCACAGTAGTAGAGCTCTTGCCTAGCTTGTACAAAGGCCTCAGGCTTGCGTACCAGCACCAGAAAAAAGGAGGTGGGGGATAGAGGATTTTCTCCCCCACCTCCCCCCCCCCAAGACAGGGATTTTCTGTGTAGCCTTGGCGGTCCCGGAACTCACTCTATAGGCCAGACTGGCCTCAAACTCAGAGATCTGCCTGCCTCTGTCTCCCGAGTGCTGAGATTAAAGGCCTGTGTCACCACCAAATGGCTTTCTTTCCTTCTTTCAATAATTATTTACTTTATTTCATGTTTATAAGGTTTACTTGAATGTGCCTGGTGGCCTCTGGGGTCAGAAGAGGGCATTGAAACTGGAGTTATAGACAGTTGACAACTGTCACATGAGTTCAGGGAATAGAACTTGGGTCCTCTGCAAAAACTGCCAGTGTTCTTAACACCTGAGCCATCTTTCCAGCCCAATGATTTTCATAAAAAAAAAAAAAAAAAAAAAAAAAAAAAAAAAAAAAAAAAACCTTAATAGAGTAGGAACAGAAGAGAATTCCTAAAGGGACAAAAACAAAAACTGTTACAAATGTCATCTTTAGAACGCTACCTTTGGGTCTGGAGAGATGGCTCAGTGATTAAGAGTCTGGATGCTCTTTCAGAGGACCCAGGTTCGATTCTCATCACCCATATGGAAGCCTACAACTATTTATAACTACAGTTCTAGGGATCTGACGCCCCCTTCTGGGTTCTAGGGGGTCCCACATGCATATGCTATGCAGATACACAAGCAGGCAAAACACCTAGACACATAAAATAAAAATAAATAAAGTGTATCTCAGGCCCAGTGAGAGATGCTCCAGCAGGCAAAGGCACTTCCTGTTGAGCTTGACATCTGATCTCTGGGACTCACAACATGGAAGAAGAGAACCAACTCTTGGAAGCTGTCCTCTGACTGCCGCACAGGTACTATGTGGCATGAGGGTACACATGCATACGCGCGCGCAAACACACACACACACATGTCAGGAATTTCATACATTATTATAATAAAAAAAATTAAAGCAACATCTTACTATGTACCCCTGCCTGATCTGGAACTCACTGTGTAGGTTAGGGTGGCCTTGAACTCACAAAGGTAGAATCTGCTTGCCTCTCTGCCTCCTAAGTGCTGGGATTAAAGACATGTATCATCCCATCCAGCAAAGAAAAAATAACATTTAAAATACAGATTTGAAAGAAAATATCTTCACTTGAAGAAATTAATTAACTATATAGAAAATCCATCACGATTATCAGATAACCTGAGACTTGATAAGGGCCCAGCAAGATTGCTGAATACGAAATCAATATCCAGAGCTTAAGAGTTCACATGCACGAGCCTCGGCCAATTATAAGTGCATTGGAGAGAAGCCTGCTGTAAGAGCCGGCAGAGTTCAAAACATCACCCACCACCCTCCTGCAGCCTGGGAATCACCTTGGTTCGCTTCGTTTCTACTATCTCGTCCCCTCAAACTCACTCTCTGTCTACTGCCAGGCACGACGTGGTGGCACACGCCTGTAATTACAGCGTTCGGGAATTGGAGGCAGGAAGATCAGGAGCTTGGGGTCAGCCTCAGCTATGTAAGTGAGCTCTAGGCCAGTTAGAGATATGTGCGACCCGATCTTTAAAAAAAAAAGAAAAAATCTCCATTCAGTACTTAATACTCTTTTGTAAACATAAATTAAAGCGAGTCACACTGTTCCTTTAACCTTTTAATAGCTACTCATTACGTATAATTAGAGCCCAGTTCTTTTAGCCTGTGCCCTGCACAACCTGGCCCCAGCATTCTCCAGCTCTCAGCACTGCCCATTCCCCCCATGCTGGCCATATGACCCTCCCCCCAGTTCCCAACATACACCTGAGTCTTTCCACCTCCCCACACGCTATCCTCTCCCCCAAATGTTTGTCCCCAACATCACCCCCATGTGCCCTTCATCTGCCTACTCTAAATCCACTTCATCCCCATCTTTATGTATTATACTGCTACACAGAACACTGTTCTTAATCATGGATTATTTATACAGTCTTGATTTCCCTCTAGCCCATAACTTCTATGAGGTAAAAAGTCTTATCTTTGACAGTTCCCAGAGCATTTGATACACAGCCCAGGAACTGTCTCATACCAAATGCTCAGTAATTATCGGCTGACTGACATCATCACTGAATGGCTGGGTGGTGGTGCGCTCATCAAAGGCCCACGGCAACACATTTGCAGGTCTCTGGCTTGTTTGAAGGAATGGAGGACTGCCCAGCAGCAGCGGCCTATCCACATGAGGAGTCAAAAAGCCTTCCCAGGGAACCAGTGAAGATTTGGGGGCTGGTTTAGGGAAAGCAGGAAGGAGGCTGGGAGCACCGAGCTGTAGCACCCATGACTCTTACTCCTTCTCTAATTCAAACCATGGTTTGCAAAGGAACTCTGCCACGCAGGACACTGTTCTGTAGTTGTCGTGGCCTCTTAAGGGTTTGGAGGACAGCAGCTGCAAGATAGGTCAGGTAACTGGGCAGCTTGGTCTCCTAGCATCTAAGGAGTACGGTGCTTCACAGAGTGGACAGAGACAGGGACTCCCCCAGGAACCCCAAGACTTGACTGCCTAGGCACTCAAACAAGGCTACTCCAGAGGTTCCCAGAGACGGCAATAACCCTGGGAGGATTGGAAGGCTCGGCAATGGTGCCCGGGGACAGCTATCAGGGGCTGCCACGCCGGCTCTCGCGTCACCCCCGCCACGGCTACAGCCTTAATGACTTCAATTACCATGAAAGCCCTCGGAGCCCTTGCCAAGAAGGTTCCCTGCCATCATCCTCAGACCCACCAGTCTGGTGTCATTGAAGCCTAGAGGACACACAGGGCCACCGTGGCACTGCCACCTGGTCATTAGTGAAAGTGTCTCCCTCCAGGCTTCCCAAAGCAGAGAGGACTCTTTCCAGGCCTCCCTCTGGGGCTCACAATGTTAATTCTTCAGCTGGAAATTAAGGAAGCAATGTTTCTGAGGCCACCTAATGCCAAAATAGTGGCTGCTGGCAATTCTAGTATCTCTGATTCACCCCTGATTCAGGCACATAATAGGTACCCCCTACTGGTTAAATGCTTGTGCGAGCCAAGTGAGGAGGAGTGTTATAACTGCCAGGGACCCACGAGAGGCAATCTTCCTGTTTGTTTCTTTTGAGCTCATACACTTGTACACCGCAGGATGTAACAAGGGACTGGCAGAATCCTGTTATCCCCTGCTAAAGAACAATTGCTGGAGGCCTGCTCAGCACCTACCGATAACCCCGCCACCACCACCACCACCACCACCACCACCCCTTTCCTTCCCCTGACCACTGCACCTCTCCTGCAGCCCCTGATCACCCGGACTGGTGGGAGTTCAAGCACCTCGGTGCAGAGTTATCGGCTACCGTGGCAACACCATCATGAACAACCGACTCCCCAGTAGAAGGGCCTGGGGAGAGAGTTTAGTGGGCAAGCACTTCTTAGACAAGCATTAGGACCTCAGCTTTATCCCCAGACGCCCCTGTGAAAAAGTCAGGTATGGTGGCATGCGCTTGTAATCCCAGCACTGGGAAAGCAGAGGCAGGAGGATCCCTGGGACTTGGCAGCCAGCCAGTCAAATCTAATTGGTGTGTACTAGGCCCTTGGGAAACCTTGTCTCAAGAAAACACGGGGGGGGGGGGGGGGATGTCTCAGTGGACAAAAGTTCTTGCCACAATAGCTTCACAATCTTAGTTTAATTCCCACAAATCACGGTGGAAGGTGAAAATCTTCAACGCTGGCACCACCACTTTCCCAGCCCCCAACACACTTTTCTTTAATTTAAAAAAAAAAAAAAAGGAGAAAAACTAAAATCGACCTCTGGCCTCCAAAAGAGGTACACACACACACACACACACACACACGCACAAGCCCACGCGCGCACATATCCACAAAGGTGTGGTCCCCTCCTGGAAGGCAGCATATGCAAGGATAGTAGACTAGCAAAGACGTTGCACTTTACACAGGCCTGGCTCCCCTTCATCCCCAAACCCCAAGGACACCTGAGAAACCCACACTGTGACCTACCTTTTGTCCTCTTCCACCTGAACGCCAATGGAGTGGAACTCTCTTCGGCTCCTGTTCTCGGTGTCCGAGTCTGAGATTGTCTCCACCTGAAGGCAGGATGGAGGCGTCATTGGCTGTGGCTAGCCAAGGAAACACTGGGCTCACAGAGGACTAGAACGGCCAGGAGTGGCTATGTGCCAAGCTGACTGGTTAAGTCCCAAACAAAAGAGAGTACAAGTATCAAGATGGAAGGCACTGGATGCTGCTCAGTGCTCAACACTCATCAAGAACATGGTACCAGGGAAACGGAGATGGGCTGTTTGGAGGCAGCCTCGATTCATCAATGACCAAGATGGGTCTACTTGCAGCTCAGGGCAAGTTGTTCGTTGGTTGGTTTGTTTGTTTAAAGGTCTGTATATGCAGAAATCCCTTTCGATCTCCGTCCATTTGTTCCCAACTACATTGGGTCAGAGCCTTGGATAGTTATTACTGCCAACCATACCTGCACCCCAATGGACGGCCGCCACTTCCGCTGCCGCGCCAGGCTCCTCAGCTCCTCCCGGCCGGGGATAGTCTTGATGATGAGTGTGGGGGGCTTGGGGCTGGCCCGGGGTGGCACCGGCGCCAACTCGAGGGTGCGTGCGCCCATGGCCGGGCCGTCCAGACCGTCCGCGGAGCTACAGCGCCGGGCTGGGCCCTCTGCTGCAGTGAAGCTCTCATGGGCAGAGTCAGTGCTGCTCTGGGCGGTGATGGAGATGCGGGGTGGGGCCTGGCTTCCCGTCGGGATGGGGGGCGGGGCCTTTCTGAAGTTGAAGGCTGCAAACAGGAACGCAGGATGCAGGATGGAGATGGTGGCCCAGCATCCCCAGACAGCTGCACCCACGTGGTACAGAGGACCTTACAGCCAACGACCACTTTCGGCCTAATCCTACCCAGAGAGAAGCGATCTACGCAATTGGCGTCCAGGGACCGACAGAGAGCATACTTACAGGAGCCGGGCCTCCCTGAGACAGAGGCAGGGGCAGCAAGGAGGGGTAGGCAGTCGTCGTCTTGAGAGCAGCCGGCCTGGATGGCCCGGAGGTAGCTGTGGCTCCGCATGCGGAAACAGCCGGGCAGGTCCAGGGCGTCCACGGCCTGGGACTCAAGCTCCCCAAACACGGACCCGCACACGGCCTCCAGCTGCTGGTTGAACTCCTCGCTGAGCTGGGAGAGGACCAGGGGTACCTTTATTGAGATGCTGGGCTAGGGTGGTATCAACTAGGAGCTTTGTTTTGGAGAACACCTAGGTCACAGAGGCCATGGCTCTGTGCGACTCTCCTCCATTAGGGGGCAGAAGGTTACCCAAGCCTACCTTGGGGCCACCCTGGTCCATTCTTCCTCTGAACACACAAACTCTGACCTACGCCTCCCTTCAGGAATGCTGCACACGAGACTCCAGGCCTCCACATTTGCCCCTCCACCTAGTCCCATCCCTCACCTTTCCCTTACTTGACCCTGGCAGAGCAGAGGGAAGCAGGAACTAATATTCACCCTCCTGGACAGCTTCTGGGTACAGAGCAGTCTTCTGGAGAAAACATGTTTTATTATGGTTTTGTTTTAGCCTCATGGTCACCCAGGCTGGCATCAGAACTCAGAGCAATCCTCCTGCTTCGGTCTCCCCAGTGTTGGGATCCTATGTGTTCATCACCATTCTTGGCTATGAACTGATTAAAAGCAACAGTGGAGACCTTTGCCAAAAGGCAGGTTGGGACCTGATGGGTAATGGAGCAGAGTTACCAACATTTGTAGGTTCTACACAGCTACTAACTATGGCCTCTCCCGGCTCTACACAGCTACTAACTATGGCCTCTCCCGGCTCTACACAGCTACTAACTATGGCCTCTCCCGGCTCTACACAGCTACTAACTATGGCCTCTCCCGGCTCTACACAGCTACTAACTATGGCCTCTCCCGGCTCTACACAGCTACTAACTATGGCCTCTCCCGGCTCTACACAGCTACTAAACTATGGCCTCGCCCGGCTCTACACAGCTACTAACTATGGCTCTCATTTAACCCTCTGGCCACTGCCCTGGCCTCACTTACGTCTATAGTACGGCACAGGTACAAAGCCCAAGCACCACTCTGCATGGATAATGAACTTGACTGTGGGCTTCCACTCAGCCAAAGCATGAAGATTCCTGCCACGGTGTGAACTCAAGATCTGCCACTTCCTAGAGGTGTGGCCTGGACATAAGAAAATCTGGGGGCTTCAGTTTGCTCCTCTATCTAATGGGAGTGCTAATGGCACTGGCTGAGGGCTACCGAGAGGGCTGACGTAGACACATAAGACATCTGGAGCGGATACTGGCACAGAGTGAGCCCTCGGGGGCATGCCGATATGCCGGGACTACCCGGTCAGCACAGGCCAGCGGCTCCTAAGAACTACAATGCTGCCATTACTGAGTCCAAGAGCAAACACCCTGCTGATGTTGTACAGAGGCCACTGGACGGAGTCATGGATGAGGTTCTCAAAAACACTCCAGGGAGGGGCTGGAGAGATGGCTCAGTGGTTAAGAGCATTGCCTGCTCTTCCAAAGGTCCCGAGTTCAATTCCCAGCAACCACATGGTGGCTCACAACCATCTGTAATGAGGTCGGGTGCCCTCTTCTGGCCTGCAGGCATACACACAGACAGAATATTGTATACATAATAAATAAATAAATAAAATAAAAAAAAAAACACTCCAGGGAGACTGTAACAGCAAGTACATTTTGTGACATCTCCCCCAGAAAGATTCAGGTCACCACAGTGATCTGCAGTCACAAACCTGAAAGAGTAGCACAGTCCCTGGGTAAAAGTACAGCTCAGTATTTCCCTAACCTGGCCTCCTCAGTGATGGGAGATTTCCCTAGACACTCTGCCCTGACTACAGCAGGCATCTCCAGCACCATCTACCAACAGGCAGATGAAGGCTCATCTGGCCCAAGGATGCCAATCTGGCAAGTAGTAAAACTGAACTGCAACCTTACTTCTTGGGTTCTCTGCAAAGCTGGTTGGTCATCAGAATCTCCTGGATTGTGGGACCTGCCCTCAAGCCACTCTCTGCTTCTGCTGCCTGGATATTCAGAACCAAACCTGCCGGTTTAGAACTACACTTGGTGGCACTCGTGTAGACCCAAGGAATGACACAGAACTATTTGGGCTTCTTCCTGTGACCTTCCCAAAGCAACTTCATTACCAGCATGCAGAAGTCCAGACACTACAGGTTCTAGATCCTGTAGCAGGTACATTCTCAGCAGCGGCTCTCCCATGATTCCTGTACCTGGCTCAGTCCTCCTTTCGAAAGCATCAAAGGCAGCTGGTGCCAGAGTCCCTCCAGAAACGCAGGAGCTACACCAACTGCTATTCCTGGGCTTGAGGCACTGCCCACTGAAACTATTCAGCCCCAAGAGTTCTGCCTAGAGCACAGGGGAGCTGAGCTAACCCTGGCATTCTGGATACTCTGGGCTCGAGTTGTTGGGGCCTCCAAGATGGAAGGAATCTCTGAAACTCCAATGCCCTGCATTTACCTCCAATCCGCTTCTGTGTAAAGCACCAGGCACACAGTAGATGCTCAATAAACACTGGCCACTATTATGAGCAGAAGCAAGAGTGTCTTGGGTCATATTGATAAGACCACTCAGAATGAGAGGCTTCTCTGTCCCAGGGGTTGCAAGGCCCTTCAAGTCCCACCCACTGATAAATATACTCTGAGTGAACTCCACCCAAAACAGAGGTAGAACAAGCAGTTCCCATCTTCCAATAGGACTGGCCAAGAGGTGACTCGGTCCCAACAAAGACAAGGAAACCACAGGCACATCTAGACTCCGAGGAACACGGTACACGAGCTGACCTATACCAATTATGATTATGAAATGATAACATTCTCTGTGAATACTGCTGTTACCCCTACATGGACTTGCACCCGACTTCTCCCAGAACCCACTTGCAGGAGAGCTAAAGGAGTCCTCTTGGGGAATGAGATCCTGAGTCTGACTTCAGCCTGAGTCAGCCTCACCAGCTGTTTCTAAGCATGCGAGACACAGAGAAGAAAATACTCGGGCTGGATCTAATTGGAAATTGAGCGTGCTGGAGTTGGTGGGGCCAGCTGGGGGCCAGGCAATATCCTGGACACCTGAAGGAGGTTACTCGCTTCGGCTCACCTTGGGAAAGGCCTCCACTTCAAAGCGGTTCGCGACACTGGGTGAAACATAGCGTTGTTTTATATGCATAGCTGAGCTCACAAGAAAGCGAGATCAGTCCCCAGGGGACGAATGCAAAGAGGAGCCTGGAAAATCAGAATATGAACTGTGTGTGCCAATGCTGCAAACAGCCTGGTGGAGGCGGAAGGCTGGGGGCAGGGGCTACCGGTCTCAGCACAGAGGTCTAAGTTTTAACACCCACTCTGGTGCCGGAGTGAGACTTGGGGCCCGTGTGAAGCCCAAATGAGAAGCAGAAATGAGAACCTTCATAAACCTTTGATGATAATGCAGACGAGGGGAAAAAATTGCTATCAGTCATCACCAGAGGCCCGCGACAGGGAAGCCAGTCTGCAGCTGAGACACCAGGGAAGGGAAAGGAGGCAAGTCCTCTAAGAAGCTGTGCACACAAACCGGTCTTCCCGTAGACTCAGGACCGCGTGTGCATGGGCTTGCATGGCCCAGATTAAAAATGAACACTGGGCACTCTTAGATCAGGACTATTCAAACAGAAACAGCCACAGAATGTATCCCAGGAGATCAGGCCTCACAGAAGCTGCTCTGGCCTTACCAAGAAGAAGCCACAGTGAAGACGAGGTAACTTTGTCTACATGTGCGATATCTCTGATAGAACCCTTCAGGGCACACACTGTACCCAGTATTAAACTATATTTACAGGTTTCTAATTTAAATGATAAAACTGGGTACGCATGGTGGTGAATGCTTGTAGTCCAAGCATCTCAGAGGTGGAGGCCAGAGGATCAAGAGTTCAAGGTCATGCTCCACTACGGTTCCTTTCTGTACCAGCCTGAGCTACATGAGAACCTGTCATATGAAAAGCAAATAAACAATAACAAAACCCCTGCAAAGTTAAAAAAAATATAAGCAAGAACAAAAAACTGGGGGAGTTCATAATAAAGATTTGAAAAGAACTCCAAGAAATTTCTTTAAAAAAAAAAAACTCAGTGAGCCAGGTGGTGGTAGCATACACCTTTAATCCCAGCTCTCGGGAGGCAGAGGCAGGTGGATCTCTGTGAGTTCCAGGCCAGCCTGGTCTACAAGAGCTAGTTCCTGAACAGACTCCAATGCTACAGAGAAACCCTGTCTTGAAAAACCAAAACAAAACAATCTCAGTGAAATTTAAAGCACAATCTATAAGTTAACAATAGAGGACATTTGAATAAAGAGATAATACCAAGCAGAGGGAGGGAACGTGAATGAAAGGTTGAGACCCATGGAGGGAAAGCCCCGGACACAACTAATGGGAGCTCCAGATGGAGACACGGGGACGGGTGGGGAAGGCAATGTTTTAAGAGACGACACTGACTAGGAGTTCCCTATACTTCCTCATGACTTCAGACCAAGAAGAATGAGAACAATAAATCCTCCTCCCCAGACAGCTCTAAAGATGGACATAGCTGTCAGAAACAACTGTTTTGTCACTCTGAGGACAGACCAAAGGCACACAAGAGGGTATGTACGTGTCGTGAAAATCACCAAGCTTTGGGTGAGAAGGCAGGACTCCGGTCCTGTGCCCATGCCCCAAGGCCCCAGCACTCCAGACACTGTGCTACAGGCGATCAAAACAGCTGTTGTGTTCCCACGGCCAGAGGCCCCTGAACTGAGCAGTATCAGGAACAGTGTGTAGAGCAGAAAGGCCAGCAGCAATGCTAGGCTCTGGGGCTAGCAACAGACTGCTATGTTTAAATTTTTTCTATTGGTGTTGTATGTACATAATGTGTATGCACATTTGTGCTGTGGCACGGGTGTGGGGATCAGAGGACAACCGTGCCCTCGGTTTTCTTTTTCCATCTTTATGTGGGCTCTGGGGGTTTTACTCCAGTCTCTAAGCTTGCACTTCAAGCACCGTTTGAGGCATCTCACTGGTCCTGGTCTGATCTCTTAAGGAGAATTCTGGGAATTCAGCAGAGAACCTGTACACCGTCCCCGCCATGTCCCTCAGCAGTGGAACGTGTGCACACG